CCACCGTTCGTAACTAGGGGTCCGACTTAAGTCGGATTGACGTAACCTGGGGTCTGCCTGTATCTAAGTTCAAAGACAGCTAAATCACTTGTTTATTTGGGTGCCTAATTTTGAAAATTATGGCCTACAAGTTTATTGTCAAGCCATGAGATAGTGAAACACCAGTTCATGAAGTCAAATTGCAGTGAGGTAAGAATTTTCCACCGTTCGTAACTAGGGGTCCGACTTAAGTCGGATTGACGTAACCTGGGGTCTGCCTGTATCTAAGTTCAAAGACAGCTAAATCACTTGTTTATTTGGGTGCCTAATTTTGAAAATTATGGCCTACAAGTTTATTGTCAAGCCATGAGATAGTGAAACACCAGTTCATGAAGTCAAATTGCAGTGAGGTAAGAATTTTGCAGAGCTGTGCTAGGAGACATGTTGCCTGTTTTACCACAAGACTTGTTTAAATTTTGTGATATTTCCAGGATTTTTTATTTTATTTTACCATCTGATCAAGTTAAATGGGCTCAGAAGTTAGTACTTTGATGGAAGACCTTCAGAAAAAGTACAGAAAGAGGCACTGGCAATTTTTGGCTAGTGTAGATACCACTCTAAAGTCAGTTATCTTTTGGAGGAGCTATAAAACTGAGGTGCTGACTATCTGTAGTCCTTAAAAATCTCACAATATTTTTTGTTTGACAAGAAAGATGGATAAACTTCAGTGTCCAGGCCAAATCTAGCTGAGATAATATATTAGCTACCCAACTGTTGGCTCTGCATATTCATACTAGTGTGGTGCTTCCTTCACCTACAGCTACAGAGCTTTGACAATCTTCTGGAAAGTAATACCTGCTATTGCCAAGCAACTACCCTCTTACGGCACAGGAAGTCAGGAGATTATAAGAGGCTCAAAATCCCAAGTGGCTCACGTTCCTCCCCAGAATCCTAAAACAGAAGAATTCCAGGTAGGGAGAATGCATTGAGGTGACACCCCCAAAGAACTACAGTTACAACAATAAGCAGTATTGCTTTCTTTAACAAAGTCACTACATTTTCCCCACTCATGCAGATGGGCTCAGGAGTGCTAATTAAGCAAGTAGAGTAATGCCCACCCAAAGAGACCCAGACGACAACACAAGAATAGTGATATTTAAAAGTGCCTAAAGCAGGGGTTTTCAAACTTTGGGCTGCAATTCATCAGGATAAGTCACTGGTGGACCATGAGACATTTTATCTACCGGACCGTCCCCAGGCAGGACAGCTTGCAGCTCCCAGTGGCCACAGTTCACTATTCTCAGCCAATGGAAGCTGCAGGAAGCAGTGTCTCGGTCCATACCACTTCCCACAGTTTGCACTGGCCAGTAACAGTGAACCACAGCCACTGGGAACTGCAAGAGGCCCTGCCTACAGACATGCAAGTAAACAAAGCACCTTGCAACCCACCAATGGCTTACTTTTATGAGACACAACCCAAAGCTGTGAAATCATGCAGGTATGTCACCAATTAGAGTTGACCAAAACAGAAGAATTTTGGTTCCTGGGAAAAATTTCATTTTAGAAACATCAAAACATGGTGTTTCTGAAACTGAATATGTACCCTGCAACTCTAGCAGGTTGAAACTGACAAGAATTATGTTAATCTGGCAGGTGTATCAGCCCCACCATGCAGACCTCCATAGGGTCAGGGACCCTGGGCTTCTAGATTCCCATGCCAACTGGCTCCTGTGACTCATAGAATCATAGAACACTAGAACTGAAAGGGACCTCAAGAGGTCATCAAATCCAGTCCCTTGCCCTCACTGCAGGACCCAATACCATCTAGACCATACCTGATAGATGTCTGTCTAACCTGCTCTTAAATATCTCCAGAGATGGAGATTCCACAACCTTCCTAAGCAACTTGTTCCAGCGTTTGACCACCCTGACAGTTAGGAAGATTTTCCTAATGTCCAACCTAAACCTCCCTTGCTACAGTTTAAGCCCATTGCTTCTTGTCCTATCCTCGGGGGCCAAGAAAAACAATTTTTCTCCTTCCTCCTTGTGACACCCTTTTAGAGACCTGAAAACCACTATCATGTCCCCTTCTCTCTTCTAAACTAAGCAAGCCCAATTCTTTCAGGTCTTCTTTCACAGGTCATGTTCTCTAGACCTTTCATCATTCTTGCTGCTCTTCTCTGGACCTTCTCCAATTTCTCCACATCTTTCTTGAAATGTGGTGCCCAGAACTGGACACAATACTCCAAATGAGGCCTAATCAGATGGATTTTCCAGGATTTCCAGACTTCAGAACCAAATGCTGAGAAGGCCAGAGAGCCTGGCTCAAATAGGAGCAATCAGGGCCTCTTTGTTCCCTGCAACAGACCAGTGTTCCCTACAAGAGACCAGAATCATGACCTGGCTATAGCCAGGGTTTCTAGGCTTCTACTCCATGGTATGAAGACTAGGAGCCCAGATGGCTCTTCGGGTTTCCAGACTCCCAGGCAAGGACCCTGGCAGCTCTAACATGGCATAGTTGCCCTGGAACTTCTGACATGCTGGAGTCCTTGACAGAGCTACCCTTACATCACAAACCATGGAATACTGAAGGCCCCAGCAGCTGTCAGGAAGCCAACTTGTAGTTTAATTAAAGTTTGTCAAATCCAATATGTTTGTTGAATTAGTGTTTTCTGGTGAAAAACTCTTTTCAGATAATTCCTACTCAGCTGTATGTAGGCTTAGTTGATTCCACCGGGAAGCTGCCTGCATTTCTTTAGAGATTTAAGTAAATTTAATGGAAGTAGCACATGCTGAGTCCATCCAAGTGTTAGTAAATGCATTCTCTGGTGTGAAAATGAAAACATTTCTCTGAAGAAAACATTGAAACTGGTGTCTTACCCGCCTTTTCTGTGCTTTCGATATTCGAGGCTGCTGAATCTGTTGCTCTTTTTCCTCAAGGTGAAAACTTGCAAGATTATCAGCCACAGAATCAACCTAAAGAGAAACAAATATCTAAATATTTTAGTTAATATGGAGTGAGAATGGGGAATTATGATAGCTCCTTGGAATTAGGGATGTGAATAGTTAACCAGTAAGCATCAACCTTACAGTTAACTAGGGCAGGCTCAGGCAGTCCCCTGCCCAGGAATGATAAGACAGAATATTTTGATTGAGAACCAAATAGTATAATGCGTACAGTGAATATTACATTAAAGACAACCTCCAACAATAGACTGTCTTAAACCATACATGGACTTTTATCTGATCTGCATATTAGGGATGTTAAATTTTGATCAATCAGCTAATTGAGTAGTCAATGGAATTTCTATCGACTACTCAATCAATAAGGGGCTCTTGCTACATTTCAAAAACTGAAGCACCGCAGGGAGCAAGGGGCAAGATGGGACTCAAGCAGTTTCTGCTCGCCCCATGTTCCCACTGCAGCACTTCAGCCCTGGAAATGTGGCAAGAGCCCCGCAGGATTTTCCTACATTTCAAAGACTGAAGCACCACAGTTGCCCACTGCTCTTCTACCTTTTAAATGTAGTAAGAGCTATGGGAGGCCCATAAGGCTCTTGCTACATTTCAAAAGCAGAAGTACAACAATCGGAACCAGCGTGAATGGAGACTGCTTCAGTCTCCGCTCACACCATTTCCCCACTGTGCCTCTGTCTCCCCTGCAGAAACGGTGCTGGGGGGAACTGGCTTTTAAGCTGGCTCCCTCCCAGCACTGACTCCTGCTCCCCATCCCCTTGCTGCCTTTCTCTGATAAATGCAGCAAGAAGAGTGGGAAGTGACTAGTCGAGTCACTACTCAACTATACGATAAGCTTCTGCTTATTGGATAGTCAACTAGTCGCTCACATCCCTACTGCATACCTTAAAAGCCAACATCACAAATCCTTAGAATTTGTGACAATTAGCCAACATAATTAAATCTGTCAAATGTCACAAGGAGATAGGGTTACAAGTTATGCATCCAACTATTCTGACTATTAACTATGCAATCCAACCATCTCTAAAGACTCTTAAATAAAATCTCATCAATAGAACTTATTAGGCTAGATAGAACTGCAATGTTTTTGCCAAACTTTGAAAGGTCCTCTGAACTGAACTAATTCCTTGTACATATTAAAAGGGGCAGGCTTTACCTTATCTCTATGGTTCTCTCTCATTTACTGCACAATTGCTAAATTTATCATTAACTCACGCAGTGTTATTGTGGCCAGTTAGTCCCAAGATATTAGAGACACAAGGTGAGACATTATTGGACTAACTTCTGTTGAAGAGACAAGCTTTCAAGCTACATAGAGCACTCTCTCAGGTCTGGGAAAAATAAAGAGTGTCACAGCTAAATACAAGCTGGAACAGATAGTTTGACATAAGCAGTTAGCATATGTTCTAAGGCACCATCCAAGGTGAAATGGCTGGTAAATTTATTTATTTACAGGACTAAAAGAGGGTTAGTGGATTATAGATTGTTGTCATTAGCCATAAATTCAGTGTCTTCGTTGAGATAATGCTTTTTATTGTCTAGCAAAGTTATAAATTTAAGCTCCCAGGCTTGTGTTTTTAAAGTGTTGTGCAGGTTTGCTTTGAGGATGAAGATTGATAAATATCGAGTGATCACTTTCTGAAAAAAAAGTATTCATTCACAGGTGATAGGGTTTTTTTTGTCTTTCATTTTCCTGTAAGAGTTCACCAGAGAGCACAACTGTCCACATAGTAGTTACTGAAGACTGAGATACACTACGGCTACGTCTATATTGGCCCCTTTTCCGAAAGGGGCATGCTAATTTTACAGGTCGTAAAAGGGAAATCCGCGGGGGATTTAAATATCCCCCGCGGCATTTAAATAAAAATGTCCGCCGCTTTTTTCCGGCTTTTAGAAAAGCCGGAAAAGAGCGTCTACACTGGCCCAGATCCTCCGGAAAAAAGCCCTTTTCTGGAGGATCTCTTATTCCTAATTTGAAAGTAGGAATAAGAGATCCTCTGGAAAAGGGCTTTTTTCCGGAGGATCTGGGCCAGTGTAGACGCTCTTTTCCGGCTTTTCTAAAAGCCGGAAAAAAGTGGCGGACAATTTTATTTAAATGCCGCGGGGGATATTTAAATCCCCCGCGGATTTCCCTATTACGACCTGTAAAATTAGCATGCCCCTTTCGGAAAAGGGGCCAATGTAGACGTAGCCTACATGTGATAGGCAAGTATGCATGAATCATCAAAGGTATGTTGTGAGGTTGTGGGAGTTTGCTGACCATTGTAGCAATGGAGATAAGCTGGTATAACCCACACACCTTCTAGTGTTCTGTCCTACTTAGTGGCACTGAGACCACTTACAAAGGGAATAATGAGTCTGCTTTACAGCTTTAGCTTGGAGCCAACTAGCTTTTAGATCATGCAGCAGAGGCTCATACACTAAGTTCCAGAGGTCCCAAGATCTATTCCACCTGTTGGTGCTACATTGGCGAGTTTTGCATCTGTTCTGGCAGGGTCTGGTGACATTTTAAGTTGGGATGTCCTGCTCTGTGGGGAGCTTGCTTTTGATGATGAGCTTTGAAGAACAGAGGAAGGGGCTCAGAAAACATTTCTTTCAGGAGGAGTGCCCAACAATATGGGTTAAAGTTGTCTGATTACCCCGTATGGGTGCCAGTGAGGTGTGGTAAGTGACAAGAAAGAGCGTGCACTCAGGGGGATTTTATTTCTCTATTGAAGCAGGTTCTTTCAGGGTATTTGAAAGGTGACCCATTCCATGATGCAATCAATTTCTTTTGTAGAGTGTCCTTATTTCGTAAAGACAGTTTTGAGCACACAAAGGAATATATTCAGCACTCTCTTCAGAGCATATTCTGTGATATCTGAGTGCCTCGACTGTAGGTAACAAATTTCTTGGTGTGTTTAGGAGGGGGGTACTGGACCTATAGAAGTGGGTGTGGTGATACATGGGTTTCTTGTATACAGTTGTCTGTAGGATTCTATCATTAAAGCTGATTGTGGTATCCAGAAAGTTCATGCTAATATATTTAATGGAGGGTGATATAAATCTATGAAAGAGTTCAAATTGTCTCTTCAGAGGATGAAAATATAAATGTATCTGAGGTATATTACTGGTTTTATTGCATAGATGACAAATGATACACCTGACATACATCAATATTTTCATCGGGTCATAACTTCGGCAACTCAAAACCAATTTCACTGGGATTCTCAAAGACAGTCACTTGTCAATGAGGACTATTCTCTAACAAATGATCACAAGACTTTTTCACTCTACTCACACTCACAAGTAGCTGAACAAGTTTTTGTTCCAGCTTTTCAAATCTGCAATCAGAAAATACTTCACCTAGAAAATTTCAGCCAAATATTTCAAGTTTTAGAAAATTATAAGAAACTGAAAGAGGTAGGTAGAAATGGTAAGGAAAATTTACTACAGCAGTATGCATAGTTAACTAGTATAAAACCTAAAAAATTACCTACTAGTTGTATTTAAGGATGGTAAGAGGCAGGTAATCCCCTAATCCATAAAAATGTTTATTGACTACATGATTAGTCAATAAGAAAAGGCTTCCTCAGTCCCAACTTGCACTGAATCCAGGACCTACCCCCGCTGCACCTCTGTAGTTTAAATTTAGTAGGAACTGGGCTGCCTACATGCCCAGCTCTGACTACATTTAGACTGCAGACCTACAGCAGGGACAGCTCCTGCACCTGGCTCACATGAGGACCAGCAGACCCTGTCCATAGGGGGTCCCAGCAGGAAACTGGGATCCCCTGTGGACAGAGACTGCTGCCAAAGAAGCCTCTGACCACGGCCAGCCCTGGGCCACCATGGCCAGGGGCTGCTTCATGGCAGCAGCCTCTGCCTGTAGTGAGCCTGGGCCCTGACTCATAGAGGCAGCAGTGCTGGAGAGAGTGGGTGGGAAGAGGTGGCACTGCAGGGAGATGGCACCATGGAGACGGTGCTGGAAGGAACCGGCTTTTATGCAGGCTTCCCCCAGCACCGGCTCCTGCTTCCATCCCTCACTGCTGCCTCCGATACTGCCTCTCAACTGACTAATCGCTTACATCCCTAGTTGTATTCCTTAATTTAAGGAAAGAAAGATTACAAACAAGCTTACTCATACATATATGACCTTTACATTCAGAAGCAGTTCCTGTTCAGTCACTGGGTTTGCAGTACTACATTGATAGAGGTCTGCAAATCCACAGATGTCTGCTTTATATCCATGGGCATGAGGGATGCAGCCAGCAGCACTCTCAAGCAGGCTTCCCTACCTGCCAGCAACCTCCAGTTGGCTATTCCATATGGTTCTGTACTGTACCCCCAGCAAAATCTCTTAGCTCCTATTGGCAGGAAACCAGCCAATGGGAGCTGAGATATTGTGCTGCACTGCCCCGACCCCATCAATGTCTCTGAGCTCCCACTGGCCGGTTTCCAAACAATAAGAGCTGAGAAAATTTGCTGGCAGCAGGGGCAGTGCACGAAGTCACCCTTCCCCCCTACAGCGAGCAGATAAGCACTTTGAATGGTGCTGCTCTGTGCTGCAGAGGTGGGAGGGCCACATCTGGCCCACAGGTATATCTTGCCCACACCTGGATTACAATGACCCTTCCATTCAAAAGGTCTTTTAGGGCAGTTCTAGGAGTGAACCCAAATGGCTTATGTTAATATCTCTGGACCTGTGATAATTCAAACATGCCCACTGCTTTTATTTCCCTCCTTTGGAATTCAAACCAGCGGCATGAAGCCACCTTCTTGTGTGCAGAATTTTCAAATTTTTGGTGCAGAATTCTCCCAGGAGTAAATCATAAATGTAGAGCAATAAGGTGTGCTTAAAAAAGAAACATAAGAGAAGTACTCGGTTCAGGAACAAATTCTTGACAGGACACACAACAGAAGAATCACTGAAGAACCTCTCACAAAAGCATCATCAATAAACCTACTGGACACTACTAGATTAGATAGTTAGTGTGACAACACTAAGCTAAACTATTTTTTTAAGCTAAGACAGACAAGAATGAACTGCTAACACTCTTAATTTGATATTATTTTACTCTTAAAACTCTCTCAAAATAACTTGTGGATATGCTTTTTTCTATAGCATTAATTACCCTCAGTGTCTGAGCACCACACAAGTTTTATGGTTACCATAATCCTAAAAAGGTTGGGAAAGCTGGTTTCAGACCAGAAATCTATTATTCTGTGCATAAACCCTTTAATAATTCTGTCCTCCCTTACAAATATGTACAGTTAACAATTCAGTGAAAATTACATTTGCCCAGAAGATCTTACAAATAAGGCTAAACATAACTGGTACCTTATCCTGCTCAGGTAAAGTTTCCTTTAGCTGCTTCAGTTCTTCCCTGTGCTTCTGTTCCATTTCTGCCTCCAGTTTAGCAACATCATCAGTCAACTGTTTTCTTCTCTTTTTGTCATTCTTAGGAACAGCATTTTTCATACTTTGAATTTTGGCTGTAGAACACCAAGTAGAATAATAAATGGTCATCTCTAATAAAGGGAATATGCTAAATTTATTAGTTTAAATATGATTAAAATTGGGTCATATAAATAAGAAAGATTTTGACATACTAGAATAACAATTAAACAGGTTATGAGACACGCTAGTATGATTACTACATTTTAAAACAGCTATACGTTCTGAAACATGATTATCAACCATGGGGGAAACAAGAAAACATTCTAGATACATCACTATTGAAGTATTTGCTACCTGTAAACTTTATAAATACTACAGGACTTAACCATATCTTTTTAAAAATTATTTGGGACTTAAGTGTTCCATACTTTACTTCAACAAACTGTTCATTTTGAAAAGCTAGCAAAATTTCTGTTGAAATTAGTGTTTGCATAATGTCTGGAATTGGACACACCAAAATTTGGATTGTTTTATAATCTTTATTGAAGAAGGTAATACTCAAAGACTTATGAAAATTAGCTCAGTATTTTTAAGATAATTCTGGCAATAATTCTGAAACTGCAGATCATTTAACGTTAAACATCTAAGAAGCCGCACTGAATGCAATTAGAATTTAAATCGTGCTTGTTTGTAGGACTGGTGTCTACAGATGGGCTTAAATCAAAACCCTGCATTCCAATACCCACTACTTCAAGCATTAACAGAAATTAAGTGCAAAAGAATCACAGTGCAACATGATAAGCTGCAAAGGTTACAGATGCATGAGAAATCAGGACAAAGACAGTTAATAGGAGCTATGGGCAACGTAGACAAGTTAGTGGACCAAGTGTGGCCCTCCATCTCATTGGACAAGATTGTCATAACCAAGATGGTCTCCCAGGATACGGTAGTTTTGCTAACTGTGCTCATGTACCTAGGAATTGTGGGATGTGCTGATTGAACCATAGCAACATTTTGATTGGATACAGAGGGAGTGCACAGTTCTCACAGTTAACATGTGCAATCAGCATGCACTTCACTTCATATGCCCTTGCTTTACGTGCATGTTACTTTAGTAATACCAGTAGAGAAAACAACTACATCAGAGCTATTCAACACATGGGCCACATGAGGCCCACAGCCCATTTGTTTGCGGCCCGCAGTGCAGCTTGGGTTTAACGTGGAGCTCAACATGCGGCTGGGAGCTGAAACAAAAAAAACAGTCAATATGCTGGTTTTCTGTTCATATGTGTTTTAATAGTTAAATTCCTGGACAGTCATTGCTCATTTAAAGTACTGTCATATGGGTGGAAGTGGGGTAAATACTGCATTTTATTAATATCAGCAGAACTGACTTAAATGGGATCTGCATGTTGTGTAGTCTTGCCTTAATTTTTATATTTATGCTCGTCACGGTGAACAAAGCTATTTGCATATATTTGTATTCACATGTGCATGTATATGCAACCACACTTATATTGCACCTTCGGCATGTGCTGTGAGTTTCATTGTGGCCCCCAGAACTTCCAAAGTTGAGTATAGGGTTGCCAGATGGTTTCAACAAAAATACTGGATACACTTGACATTACATCACAATCTACATTACGTCTTATTTAGAAAATACCGGACATTTATGTTCTCATTTATATTTTCTCAATTTGTTGCCCGAACAGAAAGTTCAAATACTTGACTGTCTGCCTCAAAACTGGACACTTGGCAACCCTAGTTGAGTAGCCCTGAACCACATGGATGGAAACCAGTGTTGTCTGGGAACCCTGCACATGCGAACAGCAAATAAAATGTCTCACGGGGCGCACAAACAACCCCTATGGGCTGCAGGTTGCCCACCACTGGTTTAAAGTCTCAGACGTATGTCAACACGTGTTCACTGGTCTGATTGCAAGACAGAGACTAAGGCTTAGAACACAATGTTAATTTGAAACTGTTACATTTTTAGTATTTCCTACCTCTGAAGTTTTCTATGGTTAAATGCAAACTAGTAACCATTGACTTGCAATACTGTGTAGCGTTACAGCATACCACTCATTAGAAACCTCTGCTTCTGGCATTCTCGCCTTCTGGATGTCATTGCTCATAACTGCACCAATGGCAGGTTTTGTACCTTCTACTCCAGTGCTGGCCATAATGCAGTAAAAGGCCACACAGAAATATGGACTGGGGGACAAATTCCTGGGCCCTCATCCTGCCTGTGAAAACGATTCACCAAAGAGGGACCATCTCCTCTTTCCAGAGGAGGGCGCTGCCACACACCGCTGGCTCTAG